CGTTGGATTTGTAGGTGTTTGCAATCTTTAGATAAGCTATCTAGCTGATCTCCCGCTACCTGAAGTAGTCTCAGCTGCTACTTCTCCGCCATCTTGACTCCTCCCCTCAGGTGAACTTCTAAGTGAACTAGAAAATAATAAATTTCTGACATTCTAGAGTTCACAAAAAACACTACTTGTAGTTCATTACAAAATATTATTAAAAATATCCTATGGCCAAGTTAGACATAAGTCAAAATTAATGAGAACCCCGTCTATAAATATAAATGTGGAGTTCCAGGTCAAATATCAGTAACATGATCTCAAATGGAGAATAAATGAATGATCCTCTATGACAAAGATGCCATCCCAAGAACATAATCATTGCTTAATATCAGGATACCTATTAATGTGATCATATTATTTATCCATTAACTATTATTTTCTGTTTTTCTATACTTGAACTTTGTTTTGCAGTGAAAATGATTTACTTCTACAATAGAATGAGAAAACAAATATTATTTTCAAAAAATTTTATTAAGCACTAACTCAGCAACACTATGACCATGGTTTTCACGTTGCATTGTTTCAGGGTGGGCAAGTGGGAATTTTGGTAGAAAAATATTCACATTCAAACATTAACCTTTTAAAGTAGTAGATTCACAGAAAATGGAATGGCTCAATTTTCCTGGAAAAATTAGAAAGAAGAAAACATAAGTAAAGATGTTATTGGAGGTAAGACATAAATAGCACTAATGTCTACTATGAGGTGTGCCTTCACAGAAGGGCCATGAGCCCCTCATCCCCCAAGGGGAGGATCTGCCAGGAGCCTCACGGTCTCAGCATGGACCCAGCAGCCATCAGCTGGCCCCGTGGTCCAGGTGGGCCTTGTCAGAAACAGAGGAATGAGAATCAGCCCACCTGACTTCTTGGGGAGGAAGCCACACGTCAGCTGCCTGCACAAGGCCAGCTGTTTTACGCATGCGTCGGAACTAAATATTTTCCACTCACTAGGTAGGTCCTTGAGAGACATGAAGACTGAAGGATTTTCTAGCTGGCTACCATTAGACTTACAATTTCTGGTAATTTCAAAAGAAAGCAGAGTTTTACCAGGGCCATTAGGAAAATGCAGAGGTGACTGTGGCTAGTGGGCGGCTGCCCTCCGTCCCTGCTCTCCGCTCTCTCTAGATTATACACACAGACTCTGAGCAGGGAGCCCCAAGTCCACTTCTTGGAGACATTTACCTGAGACACTTCAGACGGATTTTAATTCCCAGGAAAGAGGTAGAAATATCGCGTCATGGATAACCTCTCAATCGTGGGCATCTGGATCATTGCATTGGGTTTCTCAAATGCATTTTGAACCTGAGGTAGTAAAGAAAATCTTCAGAGATCAAGGTTGTGGCCAGGTAATACACAGAAGAAAATCTGAGCTTTTCCTTGGCTATAGTGCATACATGAACAAAATAGTATCATCAAAAGCATTTTCTGAATAAGCAAGGCTCAGAGCCGGTGAAATTCACGCTGGTTCCAAGCAATACTTCAAAAAAACCTCCTCTTTAAGCGAACCTGGGGTACCAGAAGGCATGTCACAACAGCTTAAGAGCTTTCAGGATTCCCCCCAAAAAAGGGCTTGAAAATGGTTGCATAGTTTTCCGGGGCGTAATGTGAAAAGACAAGACGACCCCTACCTTTCGGAAAATCTCCTCCAAATGGTGACAACAAGAATACTCTCCCAAGTAGTGGATAAGTTGGGAAATGAAGACAGACCCCTCTGTGTTCAATCTCCAGGATACGTTATCTGCAAAGGAAAAGCATTAAAATATTGGGAGATGGGGCCTTTGTGTAAGTGTGGAGGAGTCTTAGAGTCATAGCTATTGGACACGGTTTGATGCCGGTGCTTTGAAGGAGAGACAAGTCTGGATAGAGCTGGATGTCAGGTTCCTGCCACAGGTGCAGAGGAGACCCTCGAGGGGCCTCAGTCATGAACGCCCCGCACATTCCTAAGCACACAGCTATCCCCCACCGCTGCAGGGAGAGGGGAAGAACGGAATTCCTTCCAGCACTTACTGTACAATCAGAAAAAGGAACCTAGATCTCGCCATTCCTTGAGTCTGCACCCCTCATCCACACTGTTGGCTACTGTAGTGCTCGCTTTAGCAGCACGTGTTCTAAATTGGAACGACACGCTGTTGGCTACTGTAATAGTTTACTGGAACTTTTTCATCAGGAACATCTTTTGAGCACCTGCTTCTCATTACCATTGCAGTGTGATCCAGCCTCTCCTGTCACCAAAATGCCAGTCGTCTCCTGTTTGTCCTTTTACCTGCGACTGCCTCCCTTCCCAGGCTCGCCCTCCTAGCCCGCGCACTGCGCGAGCTGCTGTCTCCCTACTGCCCGCCCTAACTTCACGTGGGGCTCTCCCATGGCCAGCTTGACCTCCAAGTCATTAAACCTCATGGTCACTCACTGCACCTCACCTTTACCTGATGCCTCGTTCAAATCAGAGAGGCCATAGCCCCCACAGATTCTTTCCGGGTAACTGACAACACATACTCTTCTTACTTCGCTTTGTTATCCTCCAGCCATACTTCCTGAGCCCACTCTGCTGCCTGGGCCTTCGTTCTCTGCAGTTCAGCCTCTGCTTTGGGATGTCTTAGTCTGTTCTCTGTTTCTGGGTCATTTTTCCCATTGTTAGAACATTGAAGATAATGCTCAGGCAAGCATCTCCCCAAATCCTGATGCCAGTCTCTGTTCTGCAGAGTAGCTCTCCTGGTAACTCTTTTCCTTTCCTCCTGAAGTATGCTGAAGTCATCTCACACTCTTTCGCAGGATTCCCCTTTTGTTGAAGGCACACGATCCTCTCTGGTGACCTCAGGTGGTCTGTGTCACCCCGTCTTATTCAGCCGCCATATCCACTAAACAGCAGGTCATACAAATTTTCCATCCTAATTATTTCTGGATTCAACAGCTATGTCTTCCCAAGCCTGGCATAGTCACCTGTGGCCTGTGAGACCCCGGTCACATTCTAACCTGTCTCCCCATGTTGCCTCTCACTATGCCGTAACCCATCCCCACGGAATCCCCAGAGTGGGCATCTAAAGATGTCGGTCTCATCTTTTCGTGAGGTATGTTTCACCACAATTTCCGATTACCATTAGTATAAAGCAATATTAGTAATAAAGCGTGTCAACGTTAAAGATCAAATCCTTCCCTAACATATGAGGCCTCAAATTATGCGGCCCCTGCCTACCCTTCCAACCTCCCTCTTGGTACCGGCCCCTGGCTCAGTGCTTCAGACACTCTGGCCCTGTTTTCCAGCTCCTCTCTTTCCCAGGATTTCTGTGTCCACTGTCCTTCTCTGACCACTGACACAGTTCACTCCTTGATTTTTCAACACATTTTTCCTGAACGCACACAGCATGGTTACAAGCATTATTTATCTGTATGAGGCTGTGCATGGGTTTTCCACTCAGTTCATCTCGGCCCCTCTGCTCTGACTACACTCCGTAAGGCTCATCAAGTCCGGTGGCTTTAGCTGTGCACCATGTGCCCAGAGCCGGTCCATCTCAGTGCATTGCTATGTGTACAGAAAGGAATGGAGGACTTATACGTAGGAGACTCTCTGCCCTTAACTAAAATAGTCTCTTAGAGCATGCATCAGGCTGCATATGCCTTTTTAACTTCCTTCAGTAGCTACAAGTAGAGAGCTCCTCTTTCCAATAAAACTTTATTCAAACTCCAACAGGTAAGACAAAGAGAACTGTTCCTGGTATGGAATGGGTGTTCCTGGCACAGCCTGTGTCCTGTTTCCCCAGACGAGACTCAGGGCATCCTCTTGGGCCAGCAGAATCTCAGGCCCTCCCTGGACCCACAAATCAGAACTCTATTGTAGTGATATTCTGGGCACATCCAGGTTTGTATTAGAACTGTGACTTGTGCGGGGCACCTAGGTGGCTTAGTCAGTTAAATGTCTGCCTTCAGCTCAGGTCATGATCTCAGGCTCCTGGGATTGAGCCCTACGTCGGGCTCCCTGCTCAGCGGCGAGTCTGCTTCTCCCTCTCCCTCTGCCTGCTGCTGCCCCTGCTTGTGCTCTCTCTCTATATATCAAATAAAATAAAATATAAAAATCCTTAAAAAGAATTGTGACTTATGTAAATTAGATTCTGGAAGTTGCTCAGGTTCTGTAAAACACTCATAAAACAAAATCATAGATGACCATTAAATAGATTTCCCACAGGTTTGACCATGATTGACTCCACGGATCTTCTCTTTCTATCTTCTGTTATGTCTTTCCTGCCAAAGGAGGATTTTCAGTCATTGGCTACATTGTATTGAAGTCAGGCATTTGAATGTTAACTAATTTTTTAAGACTAGATTCAGATAACCAGCCAAGAGGTTCTAGGATATGTGAAGCAAGTGTTACAAGTGTTACTGATCGCCTTGTTTAACTGCTAGTAGATGATCAGGTGACCAGACCATGGGACTAACGTACACTTCTGGGCCAGTGCTATATTCAGCAACAAGCAAACAAACAAAACCAACTCTTCATTTATTTAAACTTACACTGGCTTTAGTTCGGATCCTCACCAAAGTCCAGTTTACTTTGAAAGTTTCCTCCAAATTCAAGACTTAGGGCTTTCAAGTTATAAAAGTAATCTCAATGTTCTAAATGTCTTCTGTACATCAAACCTATCGTTAGAGAAGAAATGCTCTGCTATTAGTGATCAGGTAGGATCCTAGCCAAACCTGGGATCTGGAAACTGATAGGACATGGAGAGACTGCTCTCTGAAGTCAACTTACGTGGAGTTGAAGATTTGAAAGCGATGAAGTCCTTCTCTATGTGGGTCTTTTTTATGGCATCACTGGAGATGTAGCGCTCCAAGGGCTGGTAACATGTCCACGCAAGTGCTTCTCCCATGTCGGTCACCCAGACGGCCCCGTCACCTCCTGGGAGAGACACCCGTGTCTTACGAAAGAAGTTACACACACAGACACACACACAGAATCTCTTTTACCGTGCTACCCTTACTGCAGTACATTCCAGTATGGGATTTATTAAAAATGCAAGTGTGTACTGCTAGAAAAACCACCTCACTGACCGCAGAACATACAGAGCCCACTTATATTTAGAATGACCCAAAGGACCAGGACCAGGACACTTGTTATTATTCTAGTGTGCTTCACACTTCTTAAAAATTATACAGGCTTAATTTTTTTTAAGATTACTTATTTATTTTTTTGAGAGAGCGAGCAAGTGTGTGAACACACAAAAAAGCAGCAGAGAGGGAGAAGCAGACTTCCTACTGAGCAGAGAGCCAGATGTGGGGCTCAATCCCAGGACCCTGGAATTGTGATCTGAGCTGAAGGCAGACCCTTAACAACTGAGCCACCCAGGCGCCCCCAGACTTAATTTCTTCCTTGACTGGACGTGAGTGCAGTTCTAAAATGTTGTCTGCGTCACTCATCCCTGGGAACATGAAGGCGAGCTGCTAGGCGAATAGGAAGAGGTTCACGGCCCCTCCCTGGGTGCCCCCCCCCCTACTCACTGCCTCGGCAGGCCTGCGTGATGATGACCTTGGGCTTGTCCTTGAGACCGTGGCAGCTACGGTTGTTGAAAATCTGGAAGATGGTGTCATCAGGAAGAATGTCCGGCTCTTCATCTCTGTGCTTCCTGCCACAGATCCCGTCCAGGGTGCCGTGGGACATGAACACCAGGAACGTGCTGTCTGAGGACTGGTGTTCCTGGCGGGCGGCGAAGTTCTTCAGCTCCGTTATCATTTCCTGAAAGAGTCTCTGGAGTTACTACCTAGAAACTCTCCATACACAGTTGTGCTCAGAGAGTAGACAGAGAGGCATTAACGAGTCAGACAGCATCCTGACATAAAAGCAGAAATTTAGACATATAGAAGGTAAAGGCTAGCAGGGTTTTTTGTTTTGTTTTGTTTTGTTTTTCAAGACTTATTTATTTATTTGAGAGAGAGAATGAGAGAGGGAATTGGGGGAGGAACAGAGGGAGAGAGACTCTCAAGCAATCTCCATGCTGAGCACAGAGCCCAACACGGGGCTTAGTCTCAGGATGCTGAGATCACGACCTGAGCCAAATCCAAGACTGCGATGCTCAAACCACTGTGCCCCCCAGGCACCCCTAGAGAGATTTCCATCCAGTGTGTAGCCCACTGGTTTTCAGTGGAAACCTAGGCTGGGGGAGGTGCTGGGAGGTGGAGTATAAGGAGGGGCACTTGAGGTGGCAGGTCTCCTACCAAAAGGCTTTGCTTTCATCTGTATTACATGTTGGGGTTCCCCCAAGTTTTCATTAAAAAGGAGTAAGACAGAGTAAGGGACTGGTTCCTACTGACATAAAGTAGAGATACTTAACAAATTCCTTCTGAGGTTTAAAATGGTCTATCCAAAGTCATCCATGGTATTTCTTTGGTAGAGCTGGGATCACAACTTTCTGTGTATGTGAGCACTCATGGTTTTTTGTTGTTGTTGTTTGTTTGTTTGTTTGACTGCATACTTGGCTTTACATCTAGACACATAATACTGAATTGTAAAGGGCTCAGGGTTGTGACTCACAAAGACTATCAAGTCATCGGTGCCTCCCTAATGGAGAGCGTTAGAAAGATCCAACGTTTTTAGTGAAGTACTACTCTATAAATCTTTGCTAATGAAAGTGTGCATTGGAAGAGGCTGAAACCCAGGGGTTTCGGGAGAATTCCTGTAACATGCACTATGCTCTTCCAGCTGTGAAGGAAGAAGTCCAGGAAAGAAAGGGAAGGAAGGAAGCTTATCCCACTGTCCTAAGGCATTACCAGAGCTGTGAGATTTTCCTTTATAACCACCGAATATCCAAGGTTTTCAAGGAGGCCTTGCATCCCCAAAACGTCATTTTCAGAGCCTTCTCGCTCAGAAAGATGGTCAAATTCTTTGTTACAAATGATGAGGGCCAGGCGTGTTCGGCCCTCTTTCTCCATCACTGGATATACCTGCAAATAACAGGAACAGGGTGAGTGCCATGTGGCCTGCCCACTTTTGCCTCTGAAGTCCACCCAAAGCAGACCCTTAGGATTACAGAACGGATGCCTGAAGGACTTGGGGATGGAAATAGGTGCTCAGAAAGAAAGACATAGGACTCTAGACTGAAAACGTGTGCCATAGCTGAGCATGCACTCTGGAAACCTGGCTTTGGTTGTTCGTGGGGAGGAGTTTCAGGGATGTTGGAGGATGTGCTGAAACAGACAGGAAATTGGACAGAAGGGCCACTTAATTAGATGACATGATTAAATAACATTCTATGCCCTTTGGGCTGATCCAAAGGCATCTGTATCAAGAGCTAAAATTCCCAGTGAGTTCCCAGTATGTGGTTTGAATGAACAGTCGTGTGTGTTCCTATTCCAAAGCGTGGTACCTCATGGACTCTCACAGTCTTCGGTTCTTGAGAATGCTTGCAGGGACAAATCTCCACCATGTCCATTGAGGAAGCTTCGATTTCCTGAATAACTGAGAGAAAAAAATAACTCTTGAGGGAGTAGCACCCCCAGGCTTGCACATACGAATATCTTTTCACTGGACTCTCATTCTTGAAAACGCTTACTGCCGTCCCTTCAAAAAGCTTAATATAACAAGAAAACCATTCTGTATTTAAAAAGAAATGACAAAAACAAAAGTCTTGAGTGCTCCCTCTTTCTTTTTGCTTCTCACTGACCCCCCACCAGTTTCTGTTTTTGTCAGTGGCCATGACATGGGCTAATCTTTCATACCCAGCACATTAGACTCATTTGCGTGCAGTACCCAAGATTTGCAAGGAGGCCTCTTGTTCATCTGACCTGCAAGTCATTATTCAGATATCTGAACTCCACTCACAATATCCCTACTGTGTTATTACCACTAGTGGAATGTCTCCATTAATGGGGGAATGTGCATGTTCTAAAGCACTCTGAACAGTCCTGAGGGTCACAACGAGTGAACCTTGTAGGTACTGGTATGTATTTCCTGCATTGGGACCATCCAGAAAATGTCTAATTCCTTGCCCACTGAAAGCTGATGAATATTTCTTTGGCTTCCATATAGCTTACCTTGTGTTTTGATTATTTTATGTAAATGCCCCCAGAAGAATAATGATTATATTTAATCTTAATTGTGTTTACTGTATGGTAAGCTTAATTAGGACAGGGAAGGTGTGTTTAAGTTTTGTTATATCCAGCATCTAGAATGATTGATTGTCTGGCACAGATTAAAAGTTTATAACTGATTGTTAATGAATCATTACCTTAAAATACTTGAAAATAGCCACCAACAATCCACCCCACCCCCTGCCTTTTGTTTTTCTATAGGGAAACAAGCCTTCTTCTGTTCCTTCTACTATTTTTTTGTAAGAATGAGTTCACCTTTTGAAGCAACCAGTCTTGTTAATTTGCCTGTATCTCTCCCCATCTACTGTCCTTCCCCTCCCAATAAAAAGAAGAAATACACTTCCTCCTGTCTAAGTGACTCTCCTTGTGCCCTGAGTTCCGGTTCCTCTCTCCTGCAAGAACTTGACTCAGGCCTTTATTCAGCTCTGTCCTATCCGTGTCTCCCCCTGCCCCCCGCTCTGTTCGCCCCCTGGTAAATCCCGTGCTTTCACACCCCTCTCTCTCAGACACCTCCACTCCAAGCCCTTCCCCTCCAGCTGTTGCTCTGGGCCTGGGCTCCACAGCTCAGCACAGTTCCTTAAAGGCGATGTTCCACAGCCTGTTTCCCTTTTCCCAACTCTCATTTTGTTCTTGTATGTGGCACACACTGGCTGTCGCTGCCACCCTCAGATCCTTGGGATCGAGGTTCCCACTGACCACTTGCTGTTGTTTCAGCATTTAACTGGCAGAACACGTCTTCTCTCTTCAGCACCTCTCCATGCTTCTGGGGTGCTGTGTGTTGTGGCCGCGCTTCCTCAAGCTGCTGGCTCTTAGCTCTCCCGCTGCACAGTGAAAAGTTAGGCCTTTCAACATTGGACCCTCTGTTATCCTCTGTGAGCACCAGTGCCCAGGTGGCCTCTTCAGGACATCATCTTACCTACCGTCCGCACGCTCCTGAATCCCCAGAGCTAGTCCCAGGCCTGGTTCTTCTGTGAACAACTCGGTTGAATCCACCTGTGTATTTTCACTGTCTACCCTGGGAGGTTCTACACGTGTCAAAGTGGGCATGTGCGGAGGGAGACACCTAATGTTTGTCCGTGCCTAGACATCTGGTTCTCCTGAGTTTTCCCTCAACTACAAGTTTTCTTCTACCTCATTTAATTAGAACCTTCACCTAGCTGCCAGCCAAAACCAAGATTCATCCCAATTCCTCTTCTTCCTACATTAGCCAACAGCCTACTCATCCATAGTTTTTTTGACTCTAGCTCCAAAAGATGTCAGATATCACCATTTGTCTTCCTCTCCATTGGTATAACCCCAACCTAAAAGCTATTATCTCTTAGCTGAAATATTTGAATACCTTTGGCCTTTCTGATGCTATGCTTGCTTATCATTCCTCCATTTGAAAACTCCTACAGACTTTCTATTGCAAATAAAATCCAGTTCGTTCTCACTTTCACAAAGGCCCAGAGTGGTATGGTAGCTTCAGCATGAGTTCATAACAGCTCCTCCTACCATGTCCTCCCAGTTTGCTACTCCCCCATCAGATTGGCCTTATGACATGGCATGTCCATTTCTGCTCAGCCCCCATGGGCTTGCTGCCCTTCCAGGGGATGCTTTCGCTTTAGAGTGTGGCACAACCCTCTCCCTCTCTGTTGTTCAAGCACGTACTGAAATATTACCCCAAATGAGTTCTCATAATTATTCACTGTGACCCACCTGCCTCACCTCTTTTCTCTTGTCCATTTCCTGAATTGTCCTATTTATTTTTCATATGTACTAACTGTGCACCTTCATTACACTGTCAACTCCATGAAAGCAAGATCTTGACCTATCTTGCTTACTGCTAGAAACGGTGATTAGAATGGTAGACAGTAGGTGTTCAGTTCATATGTGTGTATAATGGATACAACAGCGACTAAAGATTACAAGGTGTTCATGCCTTTGTAAGCTTGTCCCAGACTTCTGAAAATATGGTATTCACAACTCAACACTCCAGTAGCCCCTTTCTAGACACTGCAATTCCTTGGTGTGGTTCAGTAACTCATCCGTTTCTCTAGTGATCACACAGTATGTGCGTCTAGTCTTGTGTGTTTCTTTTTTTTTTTTTTTAAAGATTTTATTTATTTGACAGAGAGATCACAAGGAGGCAGAGAGGCAGGCAGAGAGAGAGCGGGGGGAAGCAGGCTCCCCACTGAGCAGAGAGCCCAATGTGGGGCTTGACCCCAGGACCCTAAGATCATGACCTGAGCTGAAGGCAGAGTCTTAACCCACTGAGCCACCCAGGCGCCCCCTGTTGTGTGTTTCTTAACGTGCTTTTCTTAACCACATCCTTGTCCTATTCGTACAGTTGTTACTTGCTTATCTGTTTGATGTTTTGTGAATCTTTTAAAGATGTTATTAATCTCACTGAAAAATATGAGTCTCAGAAAGGTTGGGTCATTCACACCAGAGACCATGGTTAGTCAGTGACCATGTTGGGCTCAGGGTCGAGATTGCTTGGGTTTTATTCCAGTTCTCTTTCCACTATAGCATACGACTTCCCCGTCTGCCTTAGGTCACAGAATGTCACCAAGCATCCATGACATTGCCTGTCACAGGCAGAAGCCGTGTGTGTGGCCTCCAGCCTCCTCCCTAATTTCATGATCTTTGCTTGCACTTCCAGATTCTTAGAGGATGAAAGAGTGGGGATATGAATGCTGACCTTACTTTGTCTCGGGTGGCACAGAAGGAAGAAATAACCCAGAATTTCTGAACCCATCTCTGGTCTCTCCACTGTAACTCAGGGCCCCTATTACTGAGGGCCTTACCCTGAGTGACTCATGAGGGTTTGCATGAGCCGTTGGGTTTGGTGGCACCTGCCAAAGGGAGAGCCAATGCCTGGGATGGCTTGGCATTTTCTTCTTCTCCACTTTCACTTTCACTTTCACTTTCATCTTCAGATTCTGAAGTGGAATGAACAAAAAGTTAAGGATCAATGCTGAATGCTGAAGGTTATTTCCAGAGATGGAAATTGAATAAAAACGTAGTTTCCTATGTCTTGACTGTAGTGCCTTCTGACAGCCCTAGATGTCTGAGTTTTCATTTGTGATATGAGATTTGATGGCACTTACCTGTCAAAGAAGATGACTCACTGCTCTCAGATTCCTCATTCTTATTTTCAGCATGAGATTCTGAAAGAATAGGAAAAGGACATTTGTTAACAGAACTAGGTTTCTAGAATCTACACACATGTAACTCCCTCTCACTCACAAGAAATTGATGATGTTTGGCCTGGGGTGACCCTATGAAGCATGGAAATCTGGTTCATTGTCTAAGCTCCACATTTGTCTTAGAGGACTGTGACTTTGTGCCAGGTGAAGGAGGAAGCAGAGTTTCTATAAAACAGTGAAGAGCTCATTATGTTCCTGCTTACATAATTCAAGGAATAATCAAATTCTTTAATCAAGGCTTTTCAGGAGTAGCATTTTTCATTCTGAGGAAAGAATGTACACACTTCTATAAACTTAGGTAGTCTTTCAGCAACCACAAAATGATCCCAAAAGGATGTCCTCAGTATTGGGAACACTCGCATGTATATATTGTCCTCTAGAGCAGGGGTCAGGAAACTCCAACCTGGAGGCCAAGGTCAGCTCAACAGCAGTTTTTGTTAATAAAGCTTTATTGGAACACATCCACAGCCATTTTGTATTTATTATGTATTGCTAAGTTTATGTCACGGCATCAGATTTGAGTCACTGTGACAGAGAAAGTTTGGGCCGAAAAACATAAAATATTGACTCCCCTGACTCTTCAAAGAGAGAGTGAGCCAACCCATGCTTCCTCGAGAAGGACACACTCGTGTTCCACTAATGCTCCTCAAATTCCCTAGGTACTCCTTTCACAAAGACAGTCTAGGTTCTCAGAGATTTATGCCTTGGGCCAAGCCCCAGCTAAGCAGAAGACAGTGGATTGCTGTATGGGGTTTTTTGGTGTTTTTTTTTTCTATTGAGCATTTTATAGGTGGGAATAACTCTGGAGTTTAGAGTGTGGCCAGAGTAGCAGAGATTAGCTAAGGACTGTCCCTGAATTTACTAGAGCTCCAGGACCATTCATGCATTTCACAAGTAATTACTGAGCACCTATAATGTGTCAGATGCCATTTCCATGAGTTGGGGCTCTCTTGATCAACAAAGCAGACAAAGTTCCATGCTTCATGGGCTTTACGTTTTAGCAAGGGGAGATATAATACAGTGAACAGGGAATGTTAAGGGGTGATTGAAGGTGACAGTTGCTGAGGGAAGGCAAAGAAAGTACTGGAGACGTGGATAGTTTGTTCTCTACTTGCAAATAGAAATAAAACAGATATTGCATAGGAGGGCAGATAAAGAATAAGTTAGGAGTCCTTTCGCCCAAGATACTCACTCAAACTCAGCAGGCTCCTGGAATTGACGAAACGGTCCATAAATACTTGACCTACCACTTGAATTTTCTCAGAGAGATCATCAACCAGGTTTTCAGTCTTATTCACAATGAAGTTCACTTTTTTCCCTATTGTTTGTAAGTCACGTTTATCTAATACCTTCTTTTCCTTCAAGTCCTCCAAGAAGCCACCAAGCATGGTGCTGGCAATCATCTTTATTTCTTTTACTGGGTCTTGTGGCGATCTCTTCTCTGTGAGGACAATAGGATTTTAGGAATTGCAGGACCTTAGGTCTCTGATTTCGGTGTGTGGTTCTCAAATTTAACAAGGGAGAGAGTATCTGAGAGGATGGCGAACAGAGCTTCCTGCACCCTATTCCCAGAAATCTGATTTGATAGGACAGGGTGGAGCACATCAATCTTTATTTCCACCTGTGTCTTAGGTGATATTAAAGTTACTGTTCTGAGGACCAAACCTATGCCTTCTACTGGTGGAGAAAGTGAGCCTCGGGGAAGGAAAGCAACTTAAACAACTTCATTAAGTTGCTCCATTAGTGATGGCTGCCCCATTTCAGCTTGCTATCACCTTGATTGCTTCCCTTCCTGTCACTTTTATCAATATCTCTTTTAAAAACACACTGTAGATAGTATATATAGATGTAAAGCATACAAGTATTACCATCTGTGGAAAAATGCACATATGTTTCCCTGGCCAGGGCTGGCAGGGCATGTCTGTATTCTGAGATTGAGAGCACACATTGTGGCTGGCTTGCTCACTGCTGGAAACAAGAGGTCATACAGAGAGCGGAAATATGGAGGAAGTGAAATACACTCTCTTCAGCTGGATAGCCCTTCACCCTGATGAGAACACTAAAGAAATGGTTAGAAACCTCAGTCAGGGGGCGCCTGGGTGGCTCAGTGGGTTAAAGCCTCTGCCTTTGGCTTGGGTCATGATCCCAGGGTCCTGGGATCGGGACCACTCATTGGGCTCTCTGCTCAGCCCCTCTCTCTCTGTCTGCCTGCCTCTCTGTCTACTTGTGATGGTCTCTGTCTGTCAAAAAAAAATAAATAAAATCTTAAAAAAAAAGAAAGAAAGCTCAGTCAGTATGAATTCAAAGAAAAGACTAAAATCATAGGAATGTTCTGAGAACATGGGTCCAGATTTGTTACACTTCCTTCCCCCCTCCCCCACCAAAAGCTATAGCTTCTCGGCTAAAATGCTTTGTCTGATAGCACACTTGCTTGCTGTGCCCCAAGCTCCCCATCCCTCACAGTCACACAGTAAAACAGCCCTGTCTCATGAGAGCCCCCTTCGGGGCTCCATCTCCTGTCCTGCCCTCCTTCTTCCTGAGCTGTCACTCCCCCAAAACACAGACATAAATGACTGAAAACCGGAGACACTCACCAGCCATTGCTGCTCTGTCTCTCTGGGCAGGAAAGTAGTGAAAATGAAAGCAGCCTTCTCCCATTGCTCTCAGTGTTCTGGCGTGCTGGTATTGCCTAAATGGGAAACTACAGCTTTTCAAGTTCTCTTGTCCGTGTGGAGAAAGAATTTGACTTTTCTGATACGTATCTTACTTCTACTAGAAAACGGGAAGCAAACATGTCTTTTCTCTTTATTCTCACACAGTTTCTCTGTTCTGTTTTGCAGTCTATTTTGAAGTCAAATGGACCCTCTGTGTCTCCCCATAGCCACTAAATGGCAGAGAGGCCTTACCACAGACACCCACTCAGCCCCTGAAGTAAGGTGTGAGTTTGCAAGACTTAAGGGGAGCAGGAAACTGACTGGAGCCCGACAAATAGAGGGGAGCTGGAAACTGACTGGAGCCCGACAAATAGTGCTATTCCTGACACCGTTTTTAAAAACGGAGGTATGTGATCTCTTCTCCCTTTCCTGATCTGTGTACTGGTCAGCACTGGGAAAACGTGTATATTTTAGTATACTGACTGATTTACTCAAGATTAGTTTTTTAAACAATAGATGTTTGCTATAAAAATTAAATAATGCAAATTTTATGAAATGTAGTAAGATCATCGGCCTTCTTTAATCTCATGCCATAAATTAACCACAATTATATGCTTAGCTTACATTGGTAAGAATTCTTATCCTGTGCTTTTAAAAAGCATTCAGTATAGTACTGATGTTACTGATGGCTGCTATCAGAAATATCTTTGTTTCCTTTGGTCTGACTATAAACTCAACTCTGACTTGGTTTTGCCATTGGGATACAGTAAATGGACCCTGTGAAGCTCTTTGCCAGTCCAGTAGACATGTAATCCATTTCTTCCTCTTGGACTGAGGAGTGACTGTCCACATGAACAAGACTGGGGTGGCTTGCTAGAGACATCACGTGGAGATGCCTACCCCGTGTGCAGATGATCTCAGGCACTTGGATAACCCCAGAGACAAGAAGAACCACAGAGTTGATTAATCAACTTGTGAAGAATAGTAAAGGCCCATTGTTTTGAGTCACTGTGTTTTGGGGCAGTTTCTCACCAATAGAGAAACACATACTTATCAATAACTTTTTTCCCATGTCATCAACAATTGGCTTTTTATAATTTCCCAATGTATGAGAGACATTTGTAAGAATCAAAGTACCTTAGGAACTATTTCATTTTTTTGATGGCCATATCGTATTAACAGTGTTGATAGATACAACTTTTAAATGTTCTATCAAAGTAATGTATGTAGCAGGCATCTAATTCAGTTGTACAGAAAAGTGCGTAATAGAAAACATATTCTCCAGTACAACTCTCCCATCTTCAGTCCCACATTCTACATGTAATTTGCCTAAATTATTCATTTTTGTTTTCTTATGCTGATTTTCAGATCTTTCAAAACATGCATATTTTATCCCTCTGTTTTTTGATAGACCAAATACAATGTTCTTGACTACCTCTTATGAAAAATAAGATGTAGTTAGCTTACCCTGCCCTACTCCCCATGCTGCCTAATATTTCATGATATAATAATTTTTAATTCTTTTATTGATTAATTTTTAAATATCAAATACTTTTTTAAAAATTACAAAATACACAAATAAGGAAATAATCCTGAAAGCAGCAAAAAAAAAAAAAAAAAAAAAAAAAAACCCCTTAACCTACAAGGGAAGACAAATAAGGTTGACAGCAGATCTATCCACAAAAGCTTGGCAGGCCAGAAGAAAGTGGCATGATGTATTCAATGTACCGAATGGGAAAATATGCAGCCAAGAATACTCAGTCAGCAAGGCTGTCATTCAGAATAGGAGGAGAATAAAGATTTTCCCAGACAAACAAAAGCTCAAAAAGTTCATGAGCACTTAAACACCCTGTAAGAAATATTAAAGGGACTCCTTAAGTGGGAAAAAACAAAAGCAACAAAGACTAGAGAGAATAAGAGAAAATCTCCAGAAACACCTAATTTATCGGTAATACAATGGCACTAAATTCTATCAGTAATCACTCTGAATGGGGATACCAGGGTTCAGTAGGCTAAGTATCTGACTCTTGGTTTTGACTCAGGTCATGATTACAGGGTCGTGGGATTGAGCCCTTTGTTGAGCTCTGTGATCAGTGCAGAGTCTACCTGAGATTCTCCCTCTCCCTCTACTCCTCCCCACCATCAAATAAATAATTAAATCTTAAAAAAATAATCACTCTCAAAGTAATGGACTAAATGTTCCATGCCAAAGATATAGGGTATCTGAATGGATGAAAGAAAGAAAGACAGAAAGAAAGAAAAGTGAAGCAAGGCAAGACCCATCTATATGCTGCCTATAAGAGACTCATTTTAGACCTAAAGTCACCTGCAGATTGAAAGTGAGGGAGTGGAGAACCATCTATCATGGTAATGGATGTCAAAAGAAAGCTAAAGTAGCCATATATATATAACAGACAAACTAGATTTTAAACCAAAGACTCTAATAAGAAATGAGGAAGGGCACTATATCATCATTAAGGAGTCTATCCAACAAGAAAATCTGACAGTTGTAATACTTAATTAATAGTAAACATAAAGGAACTCATTGATAATAACACAATAAGAGTAGGGGACTCTAATACCCCCACTTACAGCATTAGACAGATCATCTAAGCAGAAAATCAACAAGGAAATGACACCTTGGACCATGTATTTCCATGGTGATGACCACAACAATGAATGACACACTGGACCATGTGGACTTAACCGATACATACAGAACATTCATCCTAAAGCAGCAGAATAACCATTCTTCTCAAGTGCACATGGAGCGTTCTCCGGAATAGATCACATACTATGTCACAAATCAGGCCTCAACGAGTCAAAAAGGTTGAGATCATACCATGCATACTTTCAGAGCACAATGCTATGAAACTTGAAGTCAACCACAAGAAAAATTTTTGAACAATCTCCAATGCATGGAGGATAAAGAATATTTTACTAAGGAATGAATGGGTTAACCAGTAAATTAAAGAAGAAGTTAAAAAAAAATACATGGAAGCAAATGAAATGAAAACATGACAGACAGTTCAAAACCTTGGAGGTGCAGGAAAGGCTGTCAGAAGAGGGAAAGGTATAGCAATATAGGCCTTCCTCGAGAAACAAGAAAAGTCTCAAATACACAACCGAATATGTCAACATCACTCTGAAGTACTTCTAATTGGTCAGAGTGGTGATTGAGGATTAAACATTTAAATTGACAATGTGGAAGACACTGGTTACATTAATAAGAATTGTTTTTGATTCAAGGATAGAGACAAAAGAGGGACTGGAACTGATTTGAGAGAGAATAAAGGGAGTTTGGGGAACTTTGAGGAGTTATGGGGAGGAGAGGAGTGTGTGTGTGTGTGTGTGTGTGTGTGTGTGTGTGTGTGTGTATGTTGTTTAATGGGCTCATTATAATGTGTTTTGTGGCTATAGCAATGACATCATTCGTGGGAAAATGATGTAGGACAGCAATGGGACTATTATTGAACAATGTCGGTCAGCGAGCATGAAGGAGTCAAGTGGGAAGGGATGCCTTAGCCTTAGAATTATAGGAGAGAAGAGCAAGCATGTGCAACCAGGTAATAACAAAGTGGTAGATCTTGAGGCTAGAAATATTCTTCTCTGAATGGACAGTTACTGAGGGATCAGCCCCCAAAAGGTAGAAATACATCCCAACACAGTACTTGTTCAGAGATAATTCACATAGCCATAATAGTATAAATGCTTTTCATTGTTTCTTAGCATTTAGAGTTATTGTATGAACAAAGCACAGAACACTTGGTTGTGGATGCAGAAGTCAATGAAAATCTTAGGACGTTAGACACTGGAAAACAAAAATATGGGTTAAAAACAGTAGTCTAATACTAGGTGAAGGGAATTGTATGGGTGTGACTATTATCAGCTTGTATACAGAGAATTGCATAGGGAAAATTAAGCTACTGAGCAACATTTACAAGAAGAAATGAGGGTTTATTTATTTACTTATTTATTTTATTATTATTATTTATTTTATTTTATTAAATTTTATTTTTTATAAACATATATTTTTATCCCCAGGGGTACAGGTCTGTGAATCGCCAGGTTTACACACTTCACAGCACTCACCATAGCACATACCCTCCCCAATGTCCATAATCCCACCCCCCCAACCCCCCTCCCCCAATTAACCCTCAGTTTGTTTTGTGAGATTAAGAGTCACTTATGGTTTGTCTCCCTCCCAATCCCATCTTGTTTCATTTACTCTTCTCCTACCCCCTTAACCCACCATGTTGCATCTCCTCTCCCTCATATCAGGGAGATCATATGATAGTTGTCTTTCTCCGATTGACTTATTTCGCTAAGCATGATACCCTCTAGTTCCATCCACGTCATCGCAAATGGCAAGATTTCATTTCTTTTGATGGCTGCATAGTATTCCATTGTGTATATATACCACATCTTCTTTATCCATTCGTCTGTTGATGGACATCTAGGTTCTTTCCATAGTTTGGCTATTGTAGACATGGCTGCTATAAACATTCGGGTGCACGTGCCCCTTCAGATCACTACGTTTGTATCTTTAGGGTAAATACCCAGCAGTGCAATTGCTGGGTCATAGGGTAGTTCTATTTTCAACATTTTGAGGAACCTCCATGCTGTTTTCCAGAGTGGTTGCACCAGCTTGCATTCCCACCAACAGTGTAGGAGGGTTCCCCTTTCTCCACATCCTCGCCAGCATCTGTCATTTCCTGACTTGTTAATTTTAGCCATTCTGACTGGTGTGAGGTGGTATCTCATTGTGGTTTTGATTTGTATTTCCCTGATGCCGAGTGATGTGGAGCACTTTTTCATGTGTCTGTTGGCCATCTGAATGTCTTCTTTGCAGAAATGTCTGTTCATGTCTTCTGCCCATTTCTTGATTGGATTATTTGTACTTTGGGTGTTGAGTTTGCTAAGTTCTTTATAGATTTTGGACACTAGCCCTTTATCCGATATGTCATTTGCAAATATCTTCTCCCATTCTGTCAGTTGTCTTTTGGTTTTGTTAACTGTTTCCTTTGCTGTGCAAAAGCTTTTGATCTTGATGAAATCCCAATAGTTCATTTTTGCCCTTGCTTCCCTTGC